TGAGCTTCAGTTTTGAAAATCGACAATTTATCTACTTGACAACTTGCAAGTTCTTGTAAACAAGACTTAACATCCGTATTGATATTAGAAAATGTATTTATAATCACTAAATGTCCATTAGGATCCGATAACGCATCTTCTTGATTAGAAAAATAATCATAAAGACTATTGTGATGCTGTTTGCGGAAATAAACCTGTTTCCATCGATCAACTTCATCTTTTTCTAAAGCTGATTGTTCGGCTCTTACAACTCCGTCAGAAGATGCTGTTGCGATTAAACATTCCTTGCATTTTTCTAAAATTTCATCATTATCTGCTTCTGGATTATTCTTTGTGATGTCAATAATTAGACTTTGTAAGGTTTCATCTTTATCAAATCCAATGAATAGATTATTCTGGGTGAATTTATTACGTAATTGAGTAACTCCAATCAGAGTCGACATTTTTCTTGTCCAATCACCTAAATTTTCAACAAGTAAATTTTGTTTATTATTAAGAGTGTCATTAATTGACATTTTTTGCTTTTCAAACCGATTAAGAAGTGGAGGATCAGCTGAAGCCACATTTTTCTCATCCATGACAAGAATACATTTAAAATTCGGCGAAACGTAACTAAAATTCATTATTATTTAAAATACTTTAAAATAAAATAAAAAATATATATACGATAAATTTAATAGATTTACTTACAGCATAGGATTAGAATATGCTCCAAGTGCAACCCTCGTAAAGTATTTGACATTTTCTTTACTTCCCACAACGATATGATTTTGATTCCATAAATCATAAAGACTCCCTATTAAATTATAAAAAATTATTTAATGTAATTATTATACTTAAGATAACAAATAAAAGAATTACCATAAATTATTTCCAAATCTGTTAGAATCAATGGTCTGCCTGCTTCAACGCACATCTAAAATTATAAAATTATGTTTATATATAATATAAGTAAAAGAAAGAATATTTCTCATAAATTATTACCATGATTCTCTTCAAAACACTGTAATAATAATCATCCCGATCATCGGGAAATTGGGATCCTAAAATCACAACAGGATCCAAGTCTCTCATTCTTAACTGATAAGTTAATAAATTTATAATTGAATCACTTTTACCGATAACCATTAAATGACGCGCATCAGAATCATCTAAATTTGAAGCGATTAATTGTTCAATTGGAATTTGTTTATATAACCACGGCTTATGATTATTAAACATTTTTAGAACATTCCCAAAATACTTTTCACATAATTTAACGTGGTTTTCTGTCCCTCCAAAATTACGGGCTAATTCCATTTGAATATTCTCTGGAGTCATTTCACATAATGAAAGTCGCTTAACCAACGCATAATAATCACGAAGACCGTGGAAATTAGGCAAAGATTGTCCATGTTTTTCGTAATTCAAATATGCTTAAGCTAAAGGTCTTAAAGCCCCTCTTTGAAATCTAACAACTCTTTTATTTAATAAACGTTCAGCTGTATCAACTAAATCATCCAAATCAAATTGTGGTCTGCAAAAAACGTAAGAAAATATAAGTGTACATACTACATAGTGAAATTGTAAATTATACAAAAATTGTTAATTAAATGTACCTCTGAACAAGTAGTGCACGACTACTTTTACTGTTATCTAAGCGCCAATTAGATATTCCTATCACTGAAACAGTTGGCCCTGTAGCTGGATAACTTGGTTCAAGTAAGGAATGAAGCACATTTAATGGATTGTAAGGACTTGTTTCAGCTAAACCAACTATAGAATGACACATGAGAAAAGAAAATTATGACAAACAGAAAATATTATAAATAATAAATAATGTCGAAAAACTTAGTAATAGTGTATATTAAATATAAATGAAACTACCTTCATCAAGTAAAACAACACTAATAACAGGAAATTGACTGGAAGTTGTTTCCTGAAACCTATTCGCTTTATCAAAAACTTTGATAATACCATCAGAAGTTGAAAATGAAGAACCTTGATGTGGAATTAAATTAATCTGTGGTAATTCCCTAAAATATTTATCATATGAATCGGCTCCACGTAAATTCAAGCTTATAAGATGAATTGCTAAAGATTTTGAAGAGCCTGGTGCTCCTATAAGGAACAGAGGAATTTTTGTCAAAATGCATACGATCGTAACTAAAACATTTTCTAATAAAGCTTCATTATATGCTGTATTAGGTGGACATTGCATCCTCTTAATATAATCTTCTTGTTCTTCACGAATAATTTTAACAAACATATTTTCCTCTACATATGCTTTGTGGTCCTGCAATATTCGTTCCATTTCATAACGATATTGTCTACGTAAATCTTGTTCATATAACCGAGAATGATAACAAAGACTAAGTGCCAGGACATAAGATCTAATCAATATGGTTGGATTTCCAGGCGGTGGATATACATGTCCATTTCTATAAGCAGGACGATTCTGAAGAGATTTATAAAAGAATATCACCAATTTCATAGCTCGCTTGACATCACGTAGACTCACACTATATGGTTCTTCAACTTTTCGAATAAAATTTTGAGAAGCAAATAAAAGTTCCACAAATACGGGAAGTGCTAAATTTTTCAGTTCTTTTTCTACCATAATTTGAATATATCTACGTTCATCTTTTGATTTTAAAATACCATAGTCCCAAACATAATCTAAAATTTGATCAGGAAGTGGTTTTACTTGATAAACAAGATTACTTCGTTCTTCAAATTTTTTAACCCTATTTGTTAAACCAGCTTCACTTTGGGATTTTGTACGAAGGCGGTATGGATTGCAAGCGGAGAATAAACGAATATTTGGATGTATTAATTTTCCATTAAACATTTGATAAGATATTAAATCAGCAAGTAGACCTATATAATTGCAAGTATTGATCCCATCAAAGAATAACCAAATCTCGCCTTTTTCTGCTTTCTTTTGAGAATCATCCATAAACATCATAATAGTTTTTTCATCAATTCCAGCATGAAGGTTAAGAGACTGGAATTGAACTTCAACCATCAAAGCCAAGTAGGCAATCAAACTTGTCTATAAAAGATATAAAATTCAAGTAAAATATTTAAAAAAAAGTGATAATGAAAATAAATAACAACGAAATATAATAATCACCTTGCCACAGCCTGCTTCACCACAAATTATAACTGGAATATTCGCGCGTGCTCTTAAAAGAATTAAGGCCATTTTTATTAGATTATCACCAGATAAAGCGTATTCAGGAAGATTTAATTTTTCTGTCGAACTTTGCGCTAAATACTCTAACTTCACAAGAAGTGCATCCGTAGACATCGAATTATAATCATCTAACTCCCATTTTGTTCTATTTCCAATAACTTGACTTTTTAATAAAGTCTTAACATTTTCGTGAACTTTAGTTCTGTCACGATATAAGGCAGATATTGTATTGGGAGTTTGAGAATTGAAGAATACTATAGGTTGATCTGAGTCGTCCCATTGAACAATTGTACCAAGACGAGCGTTTTCATCTTCAGTATTTGTAGATTCCAATTGTGCCTCTCTTGTTTTAATAGATCTAGTTGCAAAATCTTTTGAACCATCCATTAAGGTTTTTAATATAAGTTTTCTGATATTAGTTTCTTTTACCATTAATTTCAAATTATCTACTGTAAAGAATTGACTTGATGAAAATCGAACCAATTGATCTGCTAGAACATTAACAAATATTTCAACAAATCTAAATGAGGAAATGTCTTTGTTGTTTTCGTTAAAAAAATATTTCTCGATAAGATTTTGACAACGTTCCACGGGTAACGGTTCTTTAATTGCATTATCGGTCCGAAAAAGGATTTCTTTTGCATCTATCTCATCAAGATCTAATAAATTCAAATAATTACAAGTAATCTGAATTGGACTAGTAATATCTTGAGAGATTTTCAAACTTTTAATATCCCAAGTTAAATGTTTGGACAATAAATATCCTGCCATAGGAAGAGAATTAAGTAAATACTGTTCAGTAGTTGAAGCTATTTCGACAAATATATATATAGGTGTTTCCGAAGGAGGTAGGCAAGCTACATCAACATTAGTAGAGGCTATACCCAAAGTTAATAATTCAAATAAAAACATATTGACGTCTTCGGGGTAGTTAGATGATACTATATTGATATGTAAACTTTCTACCGGTTGGAGTTTACATTCTTTAAATTGACGTACAAGTCTGCCAAATTCCATATCATCACTTATTAAAAAGCTACGTGGGAATCTCTTTTTATTGAAACTATCCTCTTTAATCCATTCAGTTTTGCCTTGTCCCGATAAGTCGGAAGAAACACGAATAACATTCTGACACAATTCCCTATAAACTTCCCTCATAGCTTCATTGTTTAATCCATCAGTCACGACGACATCTGAAGAAAATTGATCTAAAATGTGATGATGAATTCCATTTTCTCTGTAACAAATAAGCGCTAGAAGAAAATCTTTTTGATCTCTCATTGATCTAATTTGATTAACTAAATCATATTGTAATTCAAAGTCTAATAATTCTAAATTTGCAATACAAAATAAGTGATTTTCATATCCATTTTTTGATGCAAAGAAACTCCTTTTTATGAAGATAGTTAATTCCTCCATCGTAGTTGAAGTAGTACATATTAAGAGTTGCCACGGTTCCGGATAATTTCCATTATTGACATATAATGACATAATAATGTTTGGAACTCTTGTTTTGTCAGCACAAGCAGCAATAAATAATTTACCCTTTTTAACAATATTCAGCGTTGTGCGTTGTCCGGAAACCTCAGCAGCTTTAAGTCCGCCGCGTGATTGTTTTGGAATACTTTTAAAAATTTTTTCTAATTCATTTCCAATCTCGCATAGAATCTTGCGATAATCTTTAGATCCACGTGAAATTCCTTGAATATCCTTACGAGATGGTAATTTAGCTTTGTTGTTCACAAATCTAACCAATGTTTTACATTCTTCTTCATTTTCTTTATCTGGTTTTTCCGATGTGAAATAATCATGGAATGCCAAAATATGACGAGCAGGGAAGAACGTTAAATAATAACACTGTTCTTGTGCGTGATCAACTATAGTTTGCCTAGAATTGGTAGAAACGTAGTTCGTTAAAAATCTTTCTTGCGAAAAATAAATAAGGGGAGTATAAATAATTACTTACCAGTTTTTGAGCTCATTCTTTAAGAATTTTAAATAATCTTTCATTTTATCTGTTCCTATTAATTCATTTTCGAACTTTCTGTAATCAAAATGTCCCAATTGCATTAACACGGATACTACTTTGATTATTTCTTGCGCGATATCTTCTTGACCAGTAAATTCATCCAAAATATTTTTTTTTGAAATTTCGACCTGAATATCGCCGATATTGTTATCATGATCCATATTAAATGAATTAATTCGTTTAAAAATCGGTAATAAAGAAGAAAATAAAATAAAATAAAATTTTAATTTCAGTCATAGGCAAGAAAAAAGAAAAAATTTTCAAATAATTGATAATTTTTTTTTTTTTTTTGAAATAGAAAAGAAAATGAAAAATCGACAATTGCTTTTTATTATACTGATTGAATTTTTTTAAGAAATAATGGTTATCCATTTTATGAATTAAACTTTTCATTCATACCAATTTTATAGAATGAAACTTTTATTAAATTTATACTTTTTTGATTCAAGAATAAAAGAAAAAAGGATCAATAGTTCAAAAAAAAAAAAAAAAAATTTAACCGTAGTAAAATAAATGAAAGCGGTGAAATGATTTACTGAATTGTTGAATCATCATGTGGTACATTCACATTTTTGGTTAATCGGTAATTAATCTAAATATATCCATTAAAGGAAAATTTTAATTGTTAAAAGTTAGATATAATTACTTATATTATAAAATGAAAAAAAAATAAATAAATAAAAAATACAGATTTTGATTATCACCATCGACATTTTGATTTACCAAAATCAATGAGTTAGAAAACAGAAATATTATAATTATTTATTATCAAAACAATTAATTAATCTTAAAATAGATGACGAATTTACCTTTGGATTCGACTGAAATAATCGGATTCTAATTAATCTTATTATTCATTATACTAAATTATCGCCATTACTATAGATTAGCAACTATAGGAAATCCTTTTAATATTTTATATTGTGAACGATTATTTATAACCAAAATCAAGAGTGTATGACACAGTTTACTATTTACAGTACGAAATGTATGGTTTAATATTTAATTTAGTATGGATTGTTCATTATTTCCATTTTACAGACTTATTAATTAACTAAATTATCAATTGATATAATAACAAATTCACTGTAATCCATTCAAGAAAAGTTTTCAATAAATTTGGATTAAAATCAGATCTTCCAGCGTTCATTATAGGCTCGTTATGGTTTAGTCGCTGATCAATTTACCTGTAACTAAATATTGATCATGTGACTTTAAATTCAAGATTTTCTACTTGATTACTAAATTTTTAAAATATGAATTTATGTAAAAAAAAAAAATATCATGGCATTCCATACTGATGTATCTTATCCATCTAAATGAAAAAAAATTTTATATATTTAGTTATTAGTTTTTCATATTCTTGCAGATTTACTTCCCTTTTTTATCAAACAACGGTTTTATTCTGATATTACAAAATAAATTGCTTACTTACCGACTTACGTATTATATATTTTATGGGCATTCTTTTATTGGCACCCGTGATATTACATAAATGTTACACAAATTTTTGAAAAAATATTATCGTAATTATATTTTTACGACCAATCACTTAATAAGGAAATTGATTGAAGTATTAAATTATTAATTTTCTTTTCCTTTTATAAAATAAAGTAATCCGCATAAAAATATAATTGTATTTTGGATTATTTTAAATCAATTTTCATAAAATCCTGTAAATCGTGTGATAGCTTTATATAGATAAATATCATTAAATTAACTAATAAATAATATATAAAAAATGGTTTGTTTCTTCATAGCAAGCGGCTTATAGCTAGTAGTAAATTGCTTAGAGATTATTACCTGTTAAAACGCTAGATAAACGAGTTATTTACCAGTTATGGCTTATCGGCTCTAAGCCCTAAAATAATTGAATTGTAAATATTATATTTCTATCCTAAATTGTGTAACAATTTTATTAATAAACAATTTATTATATGAGAGAAGCCAATATAGTCATTAGAATTATTAACTAAACAAAAATAAAAAAATTGATTGTGACTTTTTTCACATAAAAGTTAAGACCATGTGTTTATTCAATAAGAGGGAACATGGCTTAGTATCTATAGTATTTATTATCATATTTGTACTTTGTAGTTTTCATCAGGATTCCTACTGAGCCATACTTCTCTTTAAGATGTTAATTAAGGTAATTCCAAAATATATTTGAGTGGCTGTTTTTCAATTAATTGGTAAGTCAGAAAAAATTATTTACATAAAATTATGAGAGTCTTTCTCTCAATATTTCTACATACATATCTGAGCCTACAGCACAACTATAGTTCTGTATGTGATTTCAAAAAATGTTTTTATTGATAATATGATAGACTTCAGTATAACTACCCGACGTTGATTTCCTTTTACAATTAATATTCTTATTCACCAATAATTATTTGTATTTAAAAAGATTATTTTCTGTCTAAACAATATTAGCCACACTTATTATCTGTATGATATCAATTAATATTGATCTTTATAAAATTTTTCGGAGGTACAAACTAAACATAATAGGTAAATTATTGAACTGATTTAATAATTATCTACTTATAATCATAATATAATCAAATGCTTTTGTAATTGGTACTATGTGGCAATGCTTTGTTTGATTTTTAAAGCCCAAATCCAGTTTAGAAGTGGCTTTGTAAATTATTAAAAAAAATTATTCTTTTTACACTGCCACAGGAATATTATCACATATTTAAACACCCCCTTTTTTTTTTAAAAAAAAAAATTCTTTCTTAAAATTGACATAATTCCCAATACTTGATCGATGGTTCATTTAGTCAAATTCTTCCTAACAACTTGTCCAGTATCATACAGAATCAGATGAACAACTTGAAAATTATTCCCCATCTGTACCCGCAGAGAGCAATGTTTGATCTTCCTGCCGAATTAAAGAGATGATGCAATAATATCACATGTGGTGTCTCACTCTCACTTACAGAATTGTAATATATTTATACTTTATTATAAGATATTCTTAGAAAGAAAATCTATTACTAATATAAAATGTATTTTTATTTGAAAAATTCTATGTTCCTAATAAATTCATTGAACTTGTTACCTTTAAACTTTTTATTAAAAATATATTCATATAATGGAAATTAATTTATTATAATAATTATATAGAATTTTTATAGATTCAAATGAGGTATTAGCAATCTTAGATGATTCAACCACATATGGAATTTTAAAAAAAATTTTTGCAATTGGCCAGATGATTATTCAATTGAATCTAAAAGTTTTAATATTTATATAAAATATATTTTTTTTTAATCGGTCCTTTCCAGATTTATTTCACCAATTTTCACAAAATTGTTGAAAAAAGAATTCTTACATACTCTATACTTTAAGAGATGACCCTACTGTGTTTACTGAAGTCCAATTACGAAATCTTTTAATTTATATAACTTTTATTCTTAAAACATGTGATCTGCCGGCGTATTTTTTCAGTGACTTGAGTAATGACAACAGAATAAAATTAAAAAATTAAGAGTTAAAATTACAAGGTGTACAATATATATATCCCTTATAGTAGTTCATTAAGCATAATTCAAGAGACAAAATATCTGTATGCATTACAACTAATTATAACATTAATATTAATTAAATTATCAGTAATAAGCAACTAATGCTATGATAGAGAAACAAATATCCTCGTAGATAGATTCAACTTATAGTTTATATTTCACAATCAATAGAGTACACTGCAAATATGGAATATGTAACAAAGAGAGAACCCTCACACATATTCAACATTTCTTAGCATAATGCACTAAGGGAGCATTAACAATTAAATAAGTTAGAAGTTGTTATTGAATTGACATGCAGTATATCTCACTCTATTATTGAATTAAAGTCATTTCTAATATTTACTGCTATACTCCATTTCAAACTAAAATTAGATGATATTAGAAAATATGAAGTACTATAATATTCAAAAGTCTTAAAAAGCGTCTAAAAAGAAAATAAAATGAACAGTTTAAAGTCAAAAAAAATAATTATTTTATCACTTATCATTCCACACACATTCAAAAATCAAAAAATTTTATGAAGCTGGTTCTGATGACCATACTCACCTTTTCTGGAGGGAATCTAGACCCTTGTGACATGGCTATTCAAGTTTAATTTAGCAATTTAGTAGCAGCTGCAAATGGATGGAATAATGCCAGATTGTATCAGTTTACTTATTTGCCATGATTAGTGGGCCAAGTTTAAAATTGGTAATGATGCATTTAACAATGATGAACTGGAAGAATACCTTAAAAAACTGATAGTTAATTTTAAAACTGACCCCTTACAATGGTGGAATTTACATATTACAATCTTAGTGCAAAAAAAA